ATATATTTGCAGGAATTTGTAAAAAATCTATAACAGAGGTATGAATGGATCAGATCTGCAGGAGAGTCTTAAGATCTGTAGGAGAGTCTTAACACCATTTAGACTTATTTAATAAGTTATAAAATAATATTGTATCACCTCTCTCGGTCTTTGCGTGACTTTTGCTCTCATAACTACAAATTAACTTTCTTCCTCTCTTTTCTCAATCAAACACCAATTTTTACCTCTTGAACTGGTACGTTTTCATAATCTTTACAAATATTTTTTTTATATTAATAATTTTTTTAGGGTGTAATATTAATGTTTGTCAAGAACACTTGCTGCAATAATATTTTTAGTGATTGATGTTCATCAAGGTTTTTGAGTGAAAAAAAATACTATTCATAATTAAAAATAATAATTATGTATACATATTTGAGGTCTCTTATTAGAATTTTGTCTTAGGCCAATAATTTTATTGAAACACTTTGATCATCAAATCCGTTTGTGAGATAACACTAATATATTATTGTTGTTGAACTAGTTGGTGACAAAAATAATGGAGCTCTTAATAATTCTCCATCCCAATCTTCAGTTTCAATTGGAAAGAAAAATTGGGGAAGAAAAGAACAATTGATTAAAAAAATAGTGCACCTACATTTGAAGAATATATGGAAAAATTAGTATATTTTGAGTGTCCACTACAAAAAAGCATGAATGATGTTAGTGGTTCACAAGTTAGAGAAATGGATTAAGGTTATCGGAAAAAAGATAAGAATTCTTTAGTTTTCTAATTAGCCAAATATATGTTAGGCGTTGATAATGTGATACCTTATTTATTATTTTTCAATTAGTATTTATCATACTTGTTGAACTTTTTGATATTATATTGTGCCTATAAATACTTTTTATTCGTGATTTTTTTATGTTATGCTTGATGATTATGATATTTTTTTAATCAAAAAGTAATATTTTTTGTTGAAATGAATTTTTTACAACATTTTATTAATATAATGTTTGATTACATATGCACGTTCAGATATTGAAGACAAACAATAATCATTTAGTGTTCAGATTTGTAGACCGCATCTTAATATTCAGATGTGTATTCAGATCTAGACACCTAGCTCTTAATACAAATCTTAATGTTCAGACGTGTATTCAGATTCAGAGATCTTAATCTTAATGAAAACAAATGAGGCCCTTAGTTGGAATTGAACACACATTGTTGAGTCTCAACTCAAATTAGACACGTCTTTACAAAATTTCAATGTCTACCGTAATCACTAGCATTAATCATTATCGTCATTATTAGTATAAACCATCTGCATTATCACTAGGGAACATAATATTTAATTTATTATAATTTGAATGGTATATTTACTATGATAACAAATTAAAACATTATGCACGTGAAGCAACCGTTTTACTATCATTTTTGCAGTCGAAAATCGAAGTCAACTGGTGTTCACAGTACAACCCCCATTTGTGTATATATTGAATGAAAAAAAAATCAATTCGAATCGTATTCTATATTTATCCTAAAATATCTTAATCCTTCCCCCATTGAAACTGGTGTTGTTGTTGGTAAAAATGGGTTCAGAATCTGATGATTGCAAGGTGATGTTGGGTGTAGATGGCGGCACTACCTCCACTGTGTGTGTTTGCATGCCACTTCTTCCCTTTTCCGATATCCATAATCTCCCTGATCCACTTCCAATTCTCGGCCGTGCCGTTGCCGGCTCTTCTAATTTTAATAGTGTTGGAGGTATATATATCTTTTACTTGTGAGATTTGGACAATTCAGAATTTCCCTTTTCAGAAACCCTTAAATTCATTGGAAAATATTATTTATTGATAAAGCAGGCCAATTTCAGCAGAATGGATGATTAGACCTAATTGCTGCTTTGTATTTAAGGGTTTCAATATATGAATGTGTCTGCTATAATTCAAGCGAAAAAGGGATTTTTTTTTTTTTTTGTGATATGTTGGTTGCTTTATTTTCTGGGGTGCTTGTTAGTTATTCGAAAATAATAATTTGGAAGACCTTTTTGAGTTTTTGGTATCTAAAATGTAGAGTCCAACTATTCTTTGTGCTTTCTCGGGTGGGGCAGGGAAGAAGGTAGAAAGAAATGAAGTAGTTCATACTAATCAATCAACTATCTCTTAATTCCACACTAGTTGAGGTCAACTGAACCTGACAGACACATCTTTTTCCTTTTGGGAGCGCACTCCTAGTAGTGGGTATTTCGTAGGACTTTTGATATCCATTGCCCAATCTATTGTCGTATGTACGTGGGTGGATGTTCCAAATCCAAATAAATCGAGTGTTCGGAGGATTCATCATAGTTATGCTATTTTTTATGACAAGGGAAACCCGCAGTCGTTACCCTTTGGGTGCGCACAGGGTAAAACCCCTGCTCCTATGCAATAGCTCGCAAACCACATAGGAGAGGTAACCCGTACTAGGCAAGCCCGGTGCGATGAGCTCGACCCAGAAGACAAACCCCTTGCTTTCGCTGGTAAGGAGTTTCGAACTTGAGACCTCCAACATGGAAGTCCCAAGCCCAAACCACTGGGCCACCCTGAAGGGTCATCATAGTTATGCTATATTTATGCTGGTTGTCCACCTGCCACAACCATCCTTCTTTATCTGCACTTGAGACTGACTAAGCTGGGGAAAGCTTACATAGTGGAATTAAGCAGGTCAAAATCAGAAGCAAAATTTATATATGTAAACATTAGGATATTTGTACTTGACCATAAGCTTAAGGTCTTGAATTATTATGTCATTTGTTAAACATGCCTTTTGGATTATTTTGAGCATGAATGGTCATCATTGCAAGTTAATTATATTGGATTCAAATTTAATGCTATGAGCAGAATACTATTGTGTATGTCTGGATTTCAACTGTTGTTCAATTGTTGAAGTTTGTTAAATCAACTGCTAGAAGTGTTTTCCTTACGATTGGAGTAATGTCATAAGACAGAAATGTTCTCGATTCCTAATAGATATGAGTTTCTGTTTCTTTATCATTCTCGGTTGATGTTTACAGAAGATGTAGCTAGAGAAACACTGGAAAAGATTATAGCAGAAGCACTGTCTGATGCTGGTGTCAAACGGTCAGCTGTTCAAGCGATTTGTTTGGGTTTATCCGGTGTGAACCATTCAACGGATCAGGAAAAAATATTAGGCTGGCTGAGGTTTGCTCCGTGCGCTCATTTGTTAAAAGATATTTTTGCTTGTGGAGTCAATCTTGTATGCAACTTTTGAATTTAGTATCAATATTAGGCTGCTGACATTTGCTTTTAATCACTGAGAATTCTGCTGTTCCAGCTTCAAAACTAGGTGGAATAAAGGGTTCCGTCCCGCCTCTACCCTTCTCCACTCAAATATTAGACTTGGCCCACCAACCAGAACTTGAACTCGTGATGTGCTCTTACCTTTTTACATCCCGTGTTGTACTATCTTCGTCAATGAACTATCGCCTGGGAGCTTCAGTAGTGCTAATTTTTAGCAAGCAATTTCACATAATTGTGTCTTGTACTCTAATTGTTTCGAAATTATGGGACATTTTGGACCCTAAACTAATTGTTCTAAAACTATGGTGCATTCGGATCTTGATATGCACAATAATTTATAGTAGTGATAACGATGTATTTAGAAAATTTATTCAAAATGTATATACATTTCACTAAATAATTGTCAAAACTATGATTTTTTTACAGGAGCACTTTCCCAATTCATGTTAAGTTGTATATTCAGAATGATGCCGTGGCTGCTCTAGCAAGTGGCACGATGGGAAAACTGCATGGCTGTGTTTTAATAGCTGGTACTGGAAGCATTTCTTATGGATTTACTGAAGACGGAAGAGAAGCTCGGGCCGCTGGTGCAGGGCCTGTTTTGGGTGATTGGGGGAGGTAAAGTTGGTGCGTATTCATGTTTTTTCATAAAGATACGTATTCTTCTATGTTTTCCTCTTCCCCATAACTTGAAAAAGACGAATATGTGGAGAAATATATTCTGCAAATATATACTGGAAATTAATTGTTATTTTTTGTTTTAGCTTTTTGCCTTTTTTGTCATAAGAAAAATATTCTTCTGCTGATGTAAAATTCTGGCATATCAATTGGTCTTAAAAAGGTCTCCTTATGCCTGGTAAAGTTTAGCGGTGTAGCTTTCTATGCTGCTAATATTGTAAATTGCATCATTGGTGAGGACGCTATTATGTTCTGAATAACAGTTGAATTTTCAGATTTGTTTGCACAGTGGCAGATGTTCATCTAGCATGTTATGCGTGTTTTGCCAACTGATGGCTAAACTAGAAATCTTGAACTTGTTGCATGAGTAAAGAATTTTGTAAATATAGAAAGCGATTTGGATAGATGACAGTTCTACTTTTGATTGGAGCTGGACTTTGTACTAGAACTGGATTCTGGCTTTGTGTCCTTGTAGATTATTTTACTTCAACGTATAGGACTCTAGTGAGTTTATTGGTTCTCAGAGGTTGCGTTTTAAATCTAAACTCATTCAGAATATGTTCTGAATTAGAGAGCTTAGTTCTTTCCTGTTGGAGCACTTGAACTAACTCTTTTACTAGTTGTGTATCTTAGTTGAGGACTAAGTTGCTCGGACTCTCCAAAAATGTTGCCGCATCCACGTCGGATCCTCAAAATGCACTACTTTTGAAGGGTCCGACAAGTACCCGATGACTATGAAGAGTCCGAGCAACATTGGTTGAGGACATTGAAATGATACTCTGTTCTCCTTATTCTGGTTGACTTATGAATTTGGTAATAGCTACTTTAATTTGACAATTGAAAGAGATAAAAATGATCAAGGAATAAGAAGAGACATCAGAGAGCTGTATTCTCTGTTTTAGCAACTTTATTTACATATTCAAATTGCATTCAGTTTCCATGTGCATCTCAAATTGGCAGTAACTCTGGATTCTCCTTCAAGCTTGTCACAAATGTCATATTTCATGTGCCTAGCTTTCAATGAGGTTGTATGGAATAGCTCCTACTACACCCTTGGTTAAGGCCATGGTGAATTGATCCCAATTTTCGGGGCTGGTATTATGATTACGTGTCCAACTTTTCATTGATATAGTGTCTATCTTCCTTAACATGATTGGTTATATCACATTGAAGTGGATTCTGAGCTCATTTCTCCCTTGTCCTGATATGGTGTCATTGGATGCATTATAAAATTTAAACCTTGCACTGAGCATCATGGTCAATGTAAGTCATCGATGCAAGAGATATCCCTTGATGCTTTTTGGCACCTAATTGGGCTGCCACAGATTGAATTAACTCAGGTTACCATATTTCACCTAAATTTATCTGGGGTAAGCTTTTTGTAAGTACATGTGATATTCTGCTTTGATGCCTGTTTCTAGTTCATGTGGTTATTGAAAGAGAATAGTATTACTTTTCTAGAGCTCTTTAAGAGTGAAAAATTCAATACTCTAAATCCGACGGATGTCCATTCTTGAAGTACATCTCAAGCAAAATTTACAAGGAGAAAATATCCAACTGACTTTGAAAAAATGAGTCGTATCTAATGCTGGTTTTAGGATTTTGATAAGTTTGAGAACACATATATGTACTCTACTGTTCGCTTGTTTTCTGTTAATTTCTCAATGACTATAGTGATTTGTTCAAATTCGCACTTGTCCATGAGTTACATTTGGGTTAGGATACTCCTAGCACAAAGCAGTTAAGGATCTTTAATTTGTTTGTTTTCTGTACCTTATTTGTACGTCATTTTGGTGTTTTTGAGGCGAAATAGCCCCAGATCAAGGATAGGGCTGAATACTACTGTAATAATTGATAACTAAGGGGTCGTTTGGTAGAGTGTATTGGAGAAAATAATGCTTGCATTAGCTTGATGTATTATTAGTACCTTGTTTGGTACACTTTTCTAACCTATGCATAACTAATGCTTGTATTAGTAATACACTCTATTGTGTATTGAAGAGTGTATTACTAATACCATCTATTTCTTTGCATTAGTAATGCAATGGGTTCTAATGCATGCATTAACATTATTAGAGACACAATTTTCCCTCAAAAACTTTTTTTACATCCTTTGCACTCTATTTTGGAGGGTATTTTTGTAAAAAAATATTTTTTCTAAAAAAATTATGTAATGCATAATATTTTTAGTACACCAAACCAAACATTGCATAAAAAAAATCTCATCATAACTAATGCAAACATAACTAATACAAGCATTACTAATACACTATATTTTGCATTATTCTTATACACTCTACCAAACGACCCCTAACACTACTAATTTTTTCAAACTGCCCTTTATGTTCTTTTTTGTGTTCATGTCATAGTGTTTCACTGTTCAGGATATACACTTATTTAGGTTTGTTGCAAAAGAAAGAGAACAATAAGTAAACAAATGAATAAATGAAGAAAGAACACAGAAAATGCTGTATTTGATAAAGATTATGCCACAAGTGAATTTGCTACTTTTTTGAATATGATCATAACTATCAATTCCTGATAGTGCAGTGGCTATGGGATTGCAGCTCAGGCATTGATTGCAGTGATGAGGGCTCATGATGGTCGAGGTCCACAAACAATGCTCTCAAGTTGTATTCTACAGTCACTAGGTCTTTCTTCTCCAGACGAACTCATAGGGTATCTTCTCTAAACTGATGCGTCAAAGTTGATGGACATTTGAAGTGCCTTCTCCAGCTTCTTCCATTAGGGAAAGGATTGTAGATGAATGAAACCCACCCTGGGAAACATTTAAACCATATAAACTGATGAAAATTAAAGAATATTTGCTTGAGAACAAAATTTCAGCTATTTCATTTCATTCTTTTTGGTATCTAGGTGGACCTATGCAGATCCATCTTGGGCTCGCATTGCAGCACTTGTCCCAGTAGTTGTATCCTGTGCGGAGGATGGTGATCAAGTTGCTGACGAGATCTTACATAATGCAGTTCAAGAATTGTCTATAAGTGTCAAAGCTGTTGTCCAGAGACTACATTTGGCCGGGGAAGGTTTGACATTGATTTTAATAAAAAAGTTCTAATTTTATTTGTTTCTATCATGCTCTTTTTTGCATGCACTTAAACCCTCGATGATCAATGACAATGTAAGAGATACATGTCTACTCAGCTACGTTTTGCTTGTTATCCTCTCCTCTACATAGTATTGATGTAGGTTCTATACTTTCTGGTATACTTCTTGTATACAGGTTGTCTAAACATCAGTAAAATTATTTACCGTATCAAAAGCAAAAAAAAATAAAAAAATCCTGCTAGTACTCGCCTATTCACACCTCGTTCTAATTTTGTGACTGAGGTAACTAAGAGAGAATGCGAAATTCTATGGTTGAAGAAGATGAGCCGAGCCGTTGCAGATTTTAAGAATTTTTTTCAGATTTGCAGATGATTTTCATATTATTATTGGCCTGATAAATATATTACTCCCTCTGTTCCAATTTTTGTGACTTACTTTCCTTTTTAGTCAGTCCTAAAAAGAATAACACATTTCTATATTAAGTAACAATTTAACTTTACAATGTCTACTTTACCCTTAATGAAATGATTTATAGTCACACAAATTTCTATCATTCATTTTGGACCACAAGTTTTAAAAGTCTTCCTTTCTTTCTTAAACTCCGTGCCGAGTTAAACTATCTCACATCAAATGAGACGTAGGGAGTAATATTTTAAATTACAGATTATGTTTAGGTCTTTTAAGTTCAGTTAATATTTCATGCCATTATCATCTTTTCCTATCATCTTCACTTTGATTAGCTTACTTTTGTGCTCTCTCTTTCTATAAGTAAGACCCTTGTTTCTTCGTATTCAAAACTGATAAAGACTATGAGTTAATGTTGGCTGGGTGTGGTGCTATAAAGACATTTTTTTCTTGATGCCTTGAATCATTGAAGATGAGATTCCTCTATTAATTTGGGAATCCTTGGAATTATGCTAATACCCTTTTATGTAGCTCATGAAGAATAAAAAAATTATGAAGTATAAAAATATGGGTTGTCCTATATTCTTGAGATTTTTGTTAGATCTGTAGATTATTCTTTATGTATTTTTAAGTTACTTGCATACATTTCTTTATGGTTTAGATTAGATGTTAATCTAAATTTCTTTTAGGCCATTGTCACTATTTCCTTGTTTTCTGTATGCTTATATTTTACTCCCTCCATCCCACTTTATGAGTTTGACTAGGCACAGGGTTTAAGATATGGGAAGACTTTGCAATGTTCCAAAATTATCCTTAAAATAAATGAATCTTTAAATAGAAGAGTACACCTTTGTGGAGTTTTTGCTAAATAAGTGGGAACCCAACATGGGTAATTTTTTTGTTCTGTTTTGAAGTTGGTAACTTTGTATTTCTATAAATGTTAAAAAAACAAACTCAGTACTTCGGTATACTGAACCCAATTTACAGCAAAAAGACTCTTAAGAAACTGAAGCTATTCTAATCTCCTAAATGGAGTCTAGTACATCTAGAATTTCTACAGTTTCTTTTGAGTGTGTCTGTCTACACCAAAAACAAAAGAGCAGAATACAGTTCACTTTTATCTTCTGCAATGAGTTGCTCCTATTCTCAAAACATCTGGAATTCCTTTCTTTCCAAACTGTCCACCATATGATAGGTGGTACAATTCTCCATCTAGCGCTGTCTCTAACCTCCCATCCTGCTTCTTCCCAGCTTGCTAAAGTCACTGATAGGTTTCCTGGCATTGTCCATGTGATGCCTCTGAGAGCCAGAAACATCCTCCATATTTGACTTGTGATTTTGCAATGTTGGAAAAGGTCTCACTGTCTCAGTAGTTTCCCCACATAAACTGCATCTAGGGAATATAGTAATCCCTCTTTTCGTCAGGTTGTCTTGGCCCTTAGGTGAGAACAGCTTCTCTTGTCAGAAGCCAGAAGCCCGACAAAACAATTAACCTTAAAACGTATCTTGGTCTTCCAAATGTGTTTCCAGCAGGGCCACTCGTCAATTTGGTAATTGGATTGATTTAGGTCGTTATAGGCTACATTCACTTTATAAACACCACTAGTCCACTACTATGACCATTTCACCACTATTAAACCCTTCCTTCAGATTGGCCCAAGTTTCCAACAGATTGTAGAAAGAAGTGACCCTACTCAGCTCCCAATCAGTTGGTATTCTTCTGCAAGTTATGCCCCATCCCTTGTCTGTCTGCTGTTCTGCCATGGCTCTGTGCTGGTGTAGGACTAAAGTGAAAATATCAGGTAAGCTCTCTTGCAGGATCTCAGTTCCTATCTATACCTCATTCCAGAAGTCAGTTGTTTTCCTAACATGGGTAAGCTGTTGATAGTGTCATTAAGTATTTGTCAAATAAGGAAATGTGTCATTCTTTTTGGGAGTGACTAAATAGGAAAGTGTGTCCTATAAATTGAGACAGAGGGAGTAGTTAGATATGGAGTCTTATTTCTGGTAAGAATTCTAGCTTGTTCAAGGCTCTCTATTCGATAAACAGGACTCTTGTATACTCCTACTTTGTATTAACACTGGATGAAAAGCTGATGAATTGATAGGGTTTTACATCTCTTTCTCTAAAACTGTCTAATTTTCTCTCTTAATTTGTCTCATTTCCCCTTTTCAATTTCCTTTCCTGGCCTTTCTCCTATCTTCCTTTTGGTATCAAATTCGTGCATGTTGACAACTACAGATGGGAAAGGCTCCTTCCCTGTTGTTATGGTTGGAGGCGTACTTGGAGCTAACAAGAAGTGGAATATAGGGAATGAAGTTACTAATTCTATTTTAAAGACTTATCCTGCAGCTTGTATAATTCGACCAAAGGTTAGTACTGTTCTCTCGGTATGATTGAGTCTTGTCCAGTTTTTAACGACAACATTGGGTAGGAAAAGAGATTCTTTTCATACTGCATTCTTTGAAGTTAGTTGAAGGAAAATGCAATCTTGGTTGTCATTCAATGTTTCAGTTGATATTGCCATACTTTCCTGCTTTCTGTTGTTTGTGCAGTCTTTGTTAGAGCGTCGCTTTATTGTGCTCCTTATCTTCCGTTATAGTTGGAGGCTTGGAGCTGCGAGTGCAATGAGGGAGTACAGGACTAATGAAATATGATTGGTTTAGCGTAGTGAAAGATGTTACTTTGTTATGCGTCCAAAATTCTACTCTACATGCATTAAGGGAAATGTTTGTGTTGAAATCCTTTCAAGCGAATAATACAAAGCTTATATGATAGATTTGGAAATAGCATTTTAGATACCCAGGAAAAGCAATTTAGAAGCTTTAAGTTTTTTATATAGCTCACAGCTAACTCATAGCTATCTTAGACTTCTCAAATACATTAGGCTTCCCTCAGAAATGCAATATATAGTCTCTCCATCCTGAAAAAGAAATAGGAAACATGAAAGGATGTGGAGTTCGAGGGTAAATCTAATTTTTTGCTGTAACTTTGTAAAAATAAAAGTTTGTGTAAAAACTACATAAAAGTGATATAAATCAAAAAGTACCACTGCCATTCTTTTTCATTTCATTTGTTTAAAAAGAAATGATGGGTTTAGAGTGCAACAGTTAAAGTATCTAATATTTGATGTAAATTAGCTTCCTCAATCTTTTCGACATAGAATTTACATGTATAGGAACTACTTAGAGTACTATCAAACATAACTTCTACTAATAAAGCTATTTAGGGAACTTCCAAATATGTTGTGGTAAAGAAAAAGATGTTTGCTTACCATTGTTCGTATAAAAAGATTGGTTTACCTATAAAAAACGGATTTTAAGAAGCATACGAGTCTTCTAATTCTTTGCTTCTTCTCTTCATTCTTTTCAAGGGGTGTGAGATTCCATTAATTCTTGTAACCTAATAGGTAAAAGCTAAATATTGGTCCCGTCTTGTGAATCCTTTTGACATGTTTTCTCCTTTGATATCTGAGATAGCTACATTATCTGTTAACGGTTTCTTATGCAGATGAATAACAAAGTAAGCAGGATACAAGTTTCTTTTTTCTCTACTTTACCCATTTTTTCTTAAATTAGCTTCGTCTTTCTTCCAGGGAACTGTTATCGTCTTAATTTTCCTGATTAATTTTCTCCTATGTTTAATGCTTCTGTCACACAATTCTTCAGGTGGAGCCTGCGGTAGGAGCTGCTTTACTTGCATTAAATTTCCTGATGAAAGAAACAGTAGCGAATGACCACAGTTGAAACCTGATTGTACAGAGTGTTTTAACTGTATGACCATTGATTTCAACTCCGGGCATGTATGTCCATAGATCAGTGGATTATATTATGTACTTTCCTCTTTTTCCTTTGCATATGCAGACTGCTAAATGTGATAAGGTATTCAAATGACCCTTGCACCATATTGCTGTAAAGTATCTTTGTTTCCTAAGGTTGGCAGTCTTTTTATGCCGCGGAACTGGAAGGAGATTGTGTGGTCATTGTTGCATTTGTATTCCAAATTGATACATAAATTTAATGACATACCAATATCTATATAATAATCTTTTACGGCATTCTCCTCTCTCGTGAAAGAATCTCTATTCTCCATTCATGGCCGTTTTGGGAATTGGGTTGAGCAGTTTTTCATAGATCGCGTGAATATTCTTCTTAAAGGTTGGAAGGCAACAGTCCATTCTCTTCCACTTTAGTCCAATCTACGCTAAGCTGCTATTCCTGTCTATTCCAAGCAAATTAGTTATATGTGTTCCTGCAACAACTTGCTATCATATAGATGACATCTAGAAAAAAAAAAGTGTTTACATTTACTAAACTGGGACTGCTATACCAATTGACGCAAACAAGAAGTGAATGGAAACGGTTGGTCTAGGAGCGAAGCTCAAATAAGATGATGGCTAAAAAGTATTTTAGAAAGAGGAGAGAAATATCTTATTGTGAAAATCAATGAATATGAACTGTTACAATTGGGATCTTATATGTATATACTATACTGAATGCCAACTATTACAATTGGGAACTTGGAAAACAAGTGGTTTTAAACTTATTTTCTCATGTTTGATTGGCGAGTGAAAACAATACTTGGGTAAACTACATAAATGAGTCATAAAACTCAACACAATTACATATTCATACCCCTATCCAAAGTAATTCAAGAAATACTCATTCTCTAAAAAAAAAATAAGTTCAATCCATACCCCCATTCATTAAGGTTGATAATTTTCGCTTAACTGATACTAAATTAGTATCATATATTGTAATGATATCATTTAGTCAAATGACACTATAAGAGTACATGTATACTGTTGTGGTATCATTAATGTTTCTTGTTTAGAAATTAATTCATTAGTCAATGATACTATAAGAGTATATATATATTGTTGTGGTATCATTAAGGTTTCTTAGTTAAAAATTACTTATTAGTCAATGATACTATAAGAGTATATATATATTGTTGTGGTATCATTAAGGTTTCTTGTTAAAAATTACTTATTAGTCAATGATACTATAAGAGTATATACTCGTATAGTATTAGTCTGCTCTTATAGTATCATTGACTAATGAGTAATTTCTAAACAAGAAACCTTAATGATACCAATACAGTATAAATATATTGATTTAGTATCAATTAAGCGAAATTATCAATTTCAGTGATACCATTACAACATATGATATTGATTTAGTATTAGTTAAGTGAAATTAGGGAGGGGGTGGGGGTATATAGTGTAATTATTTATTAGGGTATGAATGTAAAGAGGTACATATTTGTAATTATTTTGATTTTATGGGGTATTTTCTTAGTTTCCCAAAATATTTTCTAATGTTTGATCGGTGAATTTAAAAAAGTGTAACTTACAAAAATGATTAAAAAAAATTAGAAAATATTTTTTGTGTTTGGCTAAAGAGTAGAAAATATTTTTAAAGAAAAAAGTTTATGATTCTAAAATCAACCCCTATAACCAATCCAAGACCCAATACTGACACTCAAACTAGGACACGATCCCGGTGATTGATTCGGAATCCAATCATGTAACCTAACACTTGACCTAGACCTGATCTCGACACCCGAATAAGAAGACGACCCCGACGATCGATTCAAAATCCAACTTAGGACCTGACTCCAATTCCAAACTCGGATCCAACATTCGAATTAAGATCCAACTCCGACATCGACACACAAACTTGGACACGACCTTGATGATCGATTTGGGATTAGATCTCGACACCAACTCCTGACTCGGGACCAACATTCAAACTAGACCCGATCCTAATGCTGACACATACATCAACACTTGACCTCAATGAATGATTCGAAATCTAATCTCCACATCTAACCTAGGACCCGACCCCAGCTTAGAACTCGACACCCGAACCAAGACCCAATACTCGAACCAAGACGACTTCTTAATCTGGATCTGACTTTGACAATCGATGTAGGACTCGAATCCAACACTCGACTTTGAATCCCGACCCAAGACTTAACTTTCAAGTCGAGATATGACCTCAACTCTAGACTTAAAACCTATCTTATCTATCCTAAAACTTGACTCGGGATACTACTTCTGAATTGGGATATGAGACTTGACCCCAATGATTTATTCAGGACTTGAATTTGACACCTGATTTGGGACTTGATACACTCAAATTATACCTCTAAAAGAAGTATAAAGTGGTTTTCGTCTAAATAAAGAACCTAACAAAGGTTAGGGTCGATCCCATGAGGAATGAGGTTCAGACTGTGCGTAATTGCTATTACTTGTTCTCTTAGTCATGTTATTTCCTTAAATTGCGCGGGGGGGGGGGGGGGGGGGGGG